CCGGCGCACCCTGGACCCACTGCCTCGTTGACCCAGACAGCTAGTAGGAATGCAGAGATTTGGAAGACAGCGCAGCCGAAGGAATTCTCATGCGCCGGTTTTGCCAACGAGAACGCAACCGGGAAGACCAACCGAGGAAAGGCAGGCGCTCAAGATGGGAAGTGTAGGAGGGGAGGACGTGATGTAGGATGTTTCATGGGTAAGGGGTGTTAGAGAGCCGTCGACCGGGTCAATATATATGGTACAGTTAGCGATGAATAGCGATAGCAAGGGATACCAGCCTGACGGGTTCAGCGCGCGGCGTGTCCTGACGGACATTGAAGCGGTGAACTGATCGGATTTGGCGATCCCGACTCGGGTTTTGTTCCCTTATGTCATTATTGCTCTTCTCCGACTGTCGGCCCTTTCCGCCAATAAATAACCAGGCTCACTTCCCATGCGGCACGAACAGTACTTACAAAGTAGGCTTCATACTCCTGCATGCAGACTTGCCGCAAAAAGACAGGTATGTTTCGGAGCTTCCACAGGGTTTTACCGCGGGGACGCAAGAATACATACTATACACGCGTGTGCCACGAGTGCGTGCACCGTATGCGTTTGAAGTCTGGGATCTGGACGGGGGCTTGCGTGCTTGTGCTATGCCAGCCGCAAGCAGCAGGAAAACCGCCCGGCGCGCTCTCCTAATGCGGGGCTGCTCTCGAGATTAAGGTCTCGACTCTATCACATGGTGAATATGTAGGAGCAGGAAGTCAATATGGATGTAGAACGATTGAAAGTTCAAGGCCATGGCGCCTGCTAGGGACCCACACGACTCTATGTTTCACGCTTTGCATCAATATCCACGAACAGCAGATTAGTAACTGGATCCACACGAACAAGCCCGTGCGGCACGCGTACTGCGGGGTATGGTCAGGTTACGTATCTGCCCTGCCCTGTTTTCTTGATTCTTCATTGTTGATCGAGAACATGAATCTTTTTAATTAGCTTGTCTCATATGCATGTGCTACATATGTACATTTGTTTCTGCATGCGGAAGGCGAAGCAAGAATGGGCACGTTTGTCATCGTTGTACGTATCCCTCAATCTGTATATTCTCACATGTACGCACGAGTTCCTGGTTTCTTTGGGCATTTAATCTGTATTTTTTGGACTATCAAACATTTTGCTATCCAATCCACCAGTGTTTGGTCGTTTCCCTCAACAAAAGCAGTCGAGCGGGTTACCTGTTCAGGAAGGTTCGTTTTTCAAGCCTTTCAAGCAAGGCTTTAGGCGTCATGGAGATTTCAACCATTCAAGCCGCACGCTCAACACTCCCAGTTGCGGGGCAATTCCTTCTTTTTAAGTTATGCCACGGTGTTCCGCTTCTGGAGCTCCCTTACAAGGTTGTTAAGCACCTCCGTCCTCTGAGATCACCAGTCATCTCGTACTGACTACTACCCCGATAGTTGGTACCTGTGCTGCCTAGCGTGGATTGTGTGGTGCGTGTCACACGGATCAGTATGATCGACCGCTCCGATCTGATTGCCGCAGCTTGTCGCAGGTTTGTATCGCGTGCGTATACACACGTTCATTTTTCAAACTATTATCATTAACAATGTATTGTACTGTACAAGCACGATGCAGTGCGTTGGGCACCGGATCCCGCATTTGTCATGTGCAGTCGGGCGTGGCCGCACGTTCCCAATGCTACATACGGTGACGCAGCTTGAGAGTGTTTCATGCACTTTTAAAGCACTTCGCACTCCGCATGTCTCAGAATGATTCCAGATGCCTGATCGACTGATCGCCCGATCATTTACATTCATTGTCAAAATTGAGTAAAATTTACAAGGCGATGCAGTCATTTTGCTGGTTTGCCTCGTTCAAATACGAATCACAATCTCCAGTCAGGGCACAGGCAACACTGGCCTGCGTTGGAATGACGCACGACTCACAGCATGGCCCAGAGTCTGAGACATTTTGTGTTCAGGGTCCTGGGCAAGAGCGAAGGGCCGATTATATTAATTATGTGAATGAATGAAAACGGAGTAATTAGTAGAATACTAGAACAGATGTAGTAGTGCAAAGAGGAAGAAGCAGACGCCAGAGAAAAGTGTGTACGTCAATGAGCGCATGTGCTTTCTCGGAGCAATGTTACACATGTAGATATGCAAGTTCGCTTTCTACCCTCCTGTAACTTCAGTTTCGCGTGAATGGTCTGGCTACATATATCATTCAGTATAATTCCGCTCGATGTTCGCCCGAAGCGAGGTGTATACAATTGTCGAGTACGGGGCTAGATCGCTGCTGGTCGGAAGCCGGAGACCCTCCAAATCTCGGCAAACACACACTTAGCCCAGTCTATATGGGCCATTATCAGATTGCCGCTGGTCATTGATCATTGATGCAGTGATGAGCGTTCACCGCGTTCAGCCCGCTCGCCACTCATGGTCTGGCATAAGCTTGTCGAATGTCCACACACCGTAGGCAAATCAATGGTGCTCTTGCTGTCACTTGCTGTGGCTCGTCCTGGTCCCCCGCACTGGATGTCAAATACTAAATGACAAGCTTCACGAGGATGCAGTGATTGCGCAATATTGCTACAGCCTCATACTGCTGCCGTCCTTACTGTTCTGTGAGCAGTATGTAGGCAGGCGATTCTGGCTTCCGATGGACTGAATGCTGAGACTCGGCGACGCGCCGTGCCGGTAGTCAAACAACGAGCATGACTAGCTGTCGAAAGCAAGGCAGAACGGCGGAGACGCAAAGAACAGCAGACGGTATCTTGGAGCGCTCTCAAAAGATATCTAATCCCCCAAGTACCGCCTGTCCTGGTCATCCAATTCAAGCGCTTCCAACCTACGAATCAGCTGAAAGGCATTCAGAGTTTCAAAATGATTGAAGGTACGGTCACAGTTCCAGAATTCCTGGATCTTGGTCCATGGCTGGCCCCATCAAAGGGAGAGTATGATCGTCACTGACGTCGTAAGGCCACATCCGATCCGGTCGCACTCGAATTAGAGGCATTGAGCCTGCAGTAGGGACTGGAGGGTGATTGTAGGAGGGTAGGAATGGTGCGAGGAAGATGGCTGGATCTATGATGGACCGGTGAAGATTGAGTTCCAGGTCGCCGTTTGGAAGTCATCAAGACGCTGGTCCGATGAATGCGGCTCTCGTCGAGGCCCCCATGGACGCGAAAGAGGATCTATCTCCCAAGCTACTCCCTGCGTCTTCAACGAAGGATCTATGTCGAGTCACCGTTATACATCTTACATTTCCTTTGTTCCTTTTCTCTCTCTCTTCATATTGGCTCTTCCCTTGTGCATGTGCAATTCTTGCGATGTGTTCACTAGGTATGGCTTGAGCGCTGAGGGTGTTGATGAGAGAGGAGAGGGAGGTGATAAGGGAAAGGAGAGGGAAGAGATTTTGATGCAAGTCCCTCCACCGTATAAGCATCACACTGGCTTCGTTATTGAGAAGGGTGCGTTGGCTGACTTGGTCATTGTGGCAGCGCGTAAGTTAGGCTGCATTGCTCATTACCGCATTTTGTTTCTGCGGCCTCTCTTGTTATCTATATCGTCATGAACTACTCTTACATCAATCCTGACGTTCTGGCGGTGGGCACTATCCCAGTCACGGTCAAATCACCTCCACATCACGTCACTCATCACACAACTCTTCACAGAAGTTCTGTAGCAGTACAAATCGTGTTGGCGCGCAAGAGTGAGGGCTTCTGTCCGCGTGGTACATCCCCTCCGTTTGGGACTTCACATAGGCGAGCCAGCATGTTGCATGGTCATGCCCAGAACTGCTGTGCCCAGCACTTCAATGTATGCTTCTTAGTTTTGTACGAGATAAGCTAAGCTCGACTAGATCATAAAGGTTCCGATGGAGACGAAGCCTGGGAGGGTGAAAAAGGGTTTGTAAATGCCTTTGCACTGCAGAGATTGCAGAGATGGGGGATACTCACCTAATGTGACCTTTGGTGCAGTCCAGTGAATACTCCTAGTCGACGTCCAACTAAAGGAAAGCCGATAGTTGAGAACTCTTGAAGAACAAAGAAAACGAAAAAGTACATCAGGTTCAATTTTTCACACCCCTCTCAAAATGGACCCATTGCACCAAGTGCCAACCATGGCAGACGTAAACTAGACATTACGAGACACTTTTCCTTTCAAGCGATCGCGAATGTGCTCGTAGCGATAGATTTACCGGAGGGCAAAAAACACCGTAGATCAAAACAGCCGCGACGATGCTACCCACGAAAGCCAGAGCAGGTTCGCCGCTGTTGAAGCCGTAAATTTGGTTGAAGACCAGTGGGGCTGCCTGGAACTGAGAGACAAAGGAGATGGTGCAATAGGATTTGGGTTTCGAGACGGTAGTGTCTGAAGAAAGGCTCACTCAGAGTTACAATGTCAGAAGTGAGAAGAGGGAAACCGTGATCAGTGGACGCACAGTCCTTGATGATCGGTTGAACGAGTTGCCAGCTCATGATTACCGTAGACCA